CGGGGCCCGTGGGTCTCTAACGTTGCCTTCGGAAGCCCATAGAAAAAGCTTTCTGGGCCAAGCTGCGGCCCCCGGCCGGCATAGCTGCAGTGCAGGAGTGCGGCCAGAGGTCCCGGGAAGGGGTTGACGCCTGGCAGACGGCGCTGTCCGCACCTGAGGAGGTTTTGCGGGCGGGCAAACGGCCCCCAGCGGGATTCGCAGGCGCGCAAACGGCCTGGAGGTACGTTTGCGGGCGGGGCCCGTGGGTGTCTAACGTCGCCTTCGGAAGCCGGTTTCAAAGCTTTCTGGGCCAAGCTGCGGCCTTTGGCCGGCATAGCTGCAGTGCAGGAGTGCGGCCAGAGGTCCCGGAAAGGGTTTGACGCCTGGCAGAGTCCGCACCTCAGGAGGGTTTGCGGGCGGGCAAACGGCCCCCAGCGCGGGGTTCGCAGGCGCGCAAACGGCCTGGAGGTACGTTTGCGGGCGGGGCCCGTGGGTGTCTAACGTCGCCTTCGGAAGCCCATAGAAAAAGCTTTCTGGGCCAAGCTGCGGCCGTTGGCCGGCATAGCTGCAGTGCAGGAGTGCGGCCAGAGGTCCCGGGAAGGGTTTGACGCCTGGCAGACGGCACTGTCTGCACCTCAGGAGGGTTTGCGGGGGGGCAAACATAGCTGCAGTGCAGGAGTGCGGCCAGAGGTCCCGGGAAGGGTTTGACGCCTGGCAGACGGCACTGTCTGCACCTCAGGAGGGTTTGCGGGGGGGCAAACGGCCCCCAGCGGGGTTCGCAGGCGCGCAAACGGCCTGCAGGGAGCTTTCTGAGCCAAGCTGCGGCCTTTGTTTGGCCAGCGCAGGAGTGATGCCGACGCAGTAGGGCTTTGAAGGCGGGGGAGGCTGCTTAACGTGGCATGCTGGGGCTTTCGTTTGCACTGCCACCCGTTCCACCCTCCGGTGTCCCTGGCGCCGCCCCGCTTAGTAAAAGGCTAAGCAGGGGTCGGCGGATATAGCCTTGCCAACTTCATACACAAGACTTGGCATTTGTGATGCACGGCTATTTCTACACCATGTGCCACTGCTCTATGAAAAGTAGGAGCAAGAGTGATGCAGCAGTAACAAGCTAGAACCAGCAGGTGTTCTTGCCTTGGGCTCAAGGCATTGCCTCTCCGGAAGTCATAGAGTCGGAATTGCAGTTGTCCAACATTTGAGAACACACCGGCGCACCTGTACAGCACAAGTCACCAAGAGCCGACCAAGAGACCCACGCCCTGTTGAAAGCAGAAAGTTCTGACCATCCCTACCATACCTGTCGTCATGACTCCTGAGGACTGACTGTTGGCATGTGCGTCATTTGCTGAACAGGGTGCAATCATAGTGCAAGCCGTGCAAGCATCTCCTGAACAAAGAGAAGACAATTGGAAATGCTGATGATGCTTTCTATTGCTGGACGGTCACCTTGTTTCACCCACTGACAATTGCTTTCAGCATATGGTTATTCAATGCTGCTTTGTGGTTTTCACATTGGAAGGCTCATAAAGCCCTGCAATGCTTTTGGACAAATTCAGTCACTTGCTCGAGGAGGAAGTCGAGTGGATGCACGAAATCCAGGTACTGGCCTTCAGATGTCTTGCTTATGGCCTCCAACCTAATAGCAATGCCTCCAACCTACTAGCGGCTACTAGCGATGGCCTCCAACCTAAGGACGATGGCCTCCAACCTACTTGTATCTTCTTTTGTATTGATGTCTTAGTGTTTCGAATCATCAAAGCATTTCAGGAGGAGGAGGAAGATGACGCAGCGTTGGCCAAGCTGAAAAGCTTTCTGCCTGAAGCCCCAGAAAGAAAAGAGATGTGCTCAGTGCTTGCCATGGCCTATAGTCTGATTTCTTTTATCAGGCTTCCTAAGACGGACGCCTTCTTTGAGGCCAGAAACGAGCGTCAAAACCGTGCGTCCGAAAATACCAACCTGTAAATTAGTAGCACGGATATAACATACAAGGACTGTACCAAGGCTAGGTTGTTTCAGAACGTCAGAAGCACGAAACAATTTTGATTCAACAACTAGGGCCACGTCAAGAACTTATTCAGAACGATTAAGACGCAATGATTCGGAATCTACTCTCCAAAAATCCAAGCACCGCACATGAACAAAAAGCTGCCATTCAGCAAGCAAGGGGGGAGGGGGGTTGGAAGAGGGTAATTGTCAGAATTACAGCAAATAGAAGCAAGAAGCTGCGCGATCCTCGATGACTCGATGCCTGGTTTCGGTGGTTGCATGGCAAGTGGGTGGAGTTTCTGTCTTGGGTTCAAGGTGACGAATGGGTGCACCCATCTCTATCTTGGTATAATATCTTGCTTTAGTTTTGGAATAATGGTTTCTGATTCAGACAGCCAGTTAACCAAACAAAGAAGGAGCTAGAGCGAGAGAGAGAGAGAGAGAGCACGTGTCAGAGAGAGAGAGAGAAAGAAGGAAAGCACCAGCATCATGCTGTCGAAAGTCGGACATGCTGCAAAATGAAGGGGCTGCTCTTGATGCAGGCACCATCTGGCAACAGATTGCAGCTTTGGCAGGACATGCCAAGCTAAGTTTAACAATTTACTCACGGCGTTTGCAATTTCTTTCATGTCAACACTGCTTTGGCACGCTATGAACCCAGGCATCTGCGCACCGTCCTGCCTGCCAATGATTCGAGGGCACATCAAGTGAAGGCCTTCAGTTTACCAGGTATACTACCTCCAGCTCTGTCTTTCCCATGCCTGGCAATCTGCACTCCAGGCAGTTGTCCTCCATTGCCATGGCATGAACAGCCACGTCAACGGAGGGTCTGACACTGAAGAGCCGTGCAAGCTAGCTGCTTTTAGCAGTCAAATTGATCGCAGTTGATTGCAGCAGAGCAAGCAGAGGTATGCAGAGAGGTATGCAGAGGCTATTAGGTAACAAAGGTTCATTGCCATTCGAGCTGCCTGGGCGACAAACGTTGAAATAGACGCAACAGCTCCTTATAACACTGTATTAATTTATATAAACACATGTGACAAACACAAACCTTCAAACAGCAGAACTCAAATATTCCCTTCGGAGCGAAAAGTCAGCTGACTCCTGAATTCTTGGAAGGAACTGGGCTGGCGAGTTCTTTCCTCGAGTGGCAAACGAGGGCAGGGACACTCAGTTGAAAGTATGGAAGTATGCTGCAGTTTCTACAGTCATTTCACCTTACATGACAGGGAGACTTTGTGTTGCGGCAATACTAGTAGCTTCTCGGAATGGACATCCTTTGACTATTATTCAGAGTTCACAGCAGTAGTAGTAGGTTTTGCACTTTTCACTGTGGACATCATGGGCTCGGGCCTGAGAAGTGCTATTGCATTTTGTAGTTCCTTTTGCGTCTTCTTTGGCCCGTGATTTTGTTTCAGACTCACTTGTCAGTTGCAAAACTTTCATTGCTGCATGGGTGAAAGGCCATGGATACAGCGAGGGCACCCGAGCACTTATAGATGCCACTCACCTAACGGCGCTTGGGCTGATGGGGTCATGAGGACAAAGATCAACGCTATTGATAGAATCAGAGTACCTCTGGTAGCATCACTGGTTCATTGTCCACGAAACATCACGGAACACACTTTGTCAGTTAGCCTCTCAATGCAAGATGCTGAGGACTGGCACGATGTCTTTGCAGACCTGGAAGCGTTAACGGAGGTGGATCTCAGAAATTTCACAATGTCTCATGTAATTTTGGTTTCACCGGATATGGCCAGTTCCCGGGCTCTCATGCCCCCCTCTCTAGCTCCCTCCCTCCCTCCCCCCGATGTTTCTCAAGTTATATAATTATATATATATATATATAGTTCTTGGATGCCCCATTTGCAATACCTTTGGCACCTGAAGGCCATTTTCAACATGTGGGATGAGCCGCCAGGTGAGGAGGCCAGAGGCATGTGAGCGATCACCCAATGGCTAAGAGTGGCTCTTTTTTGAGTTGCACTTTTTGGACTCTTGTACTCATCGGATCCTATGACTCAGTCAGTGGTGTACGTGTTGTACTGTGTTCGAACAGATCGACACGCTTTCCGGCAGACAGTTTACTTGTTGAATTTCAAGTTTGTTTCATTGGTGTCCCAGTCTGGACGTTTGCATGCACAAGTCTGACCCTTTGTATAGACCTATTAGGGCACCGCATGCACCCAGGTGACAATTAAATGCCTCTCTGGTCTTTGTGTCCCTCCGTCTCTCACACCTCAGACCAGCCTGTTGGAAGCTTTTCTGGTCTCCCATCTGCCTTGGCTCTCAGGCCCCAACAGCATTTGCGTGGCTCGTGCTTGCGGCCCCTTTTCCCGCTTGTTCATCTTGTTGCCTCGTTTTGGCTCTTCGCAGGATACACTAGACATCACACGACAATATAAGACAAAGGTCTAAATGCGTCTGGGGCTGGGCTTGTACATGTGATTCCCTCTGGGGCTATGGTGTAAATCGTCTTTTCATAGCTGTATTCCCACTGTCACAACACTATGACATGCTACCACGTCAACTATGCGAACCTTGAAATAACTGCCAGGAATTCAATGCCGGCGTCCCGCCAGAGGCGGGCCTGTAGATTTTTTGGAGAAAAACATTGTTGTTTTCTAGCTGTTGAACTTTGCGCCGTTGCAAGGTGCTTCAAAGATTAAGACAGTTGCCTCTCTTCCTTCATGGCTTAAGCATGGGCGGGATGAACCACAGCTGCAAGACCGAAGTGTGAACGCTTCATGAAGCCCAAGTTGCAGCTTAAAGCTGATTAAGAGCTTGTTCCAAGCAGCACCAAGCCACTTTGGTGGGCTCTAGAACAGACTTGTTTGTTGCCCCTACCTCAGACCATACTGGGTAGCGGATGGTAGCGGGGTAAAGTCGACTCAGCTTGTTTATTCGAAGTCGATTGGGAATTGTGCGAAGGTGAGGGCTCTTTTCATGTTTTCTTTCTTTAAAGGCCTCTAAAAAAAGGCAAACTAGCATACTGCACTGCAGCTTCCACACTTTGCCCGCCTTCGACTTTCCGCACCAATTCAGTTCAAGCTGATCTCAGGATTTGCCTACACTTGGGGCTGAGACTTCAACGGCACCCACGAATACAAAGAATATTCAGAGGTCTGGCATCCTAGAATTCTTGCCTTCATGAACAGCTTCTGTCAGTGGGAACTCAAACTATAACTATTTCCAGACTATGTGCTCTGTGAAGCATGAAACTCTCTTTTATCGTTCAGAGTTGAACACATCCTGTCACTTACAATAAACTGGGAATGTGTTTCTATAAAAACACGGTTCTGATGAAGTTTAATTATGTCAGATTTGAGCATGACCCCAGAAAAGGATGACAGGCACAGTGGCTCGAAAGCTGGAAAGAGCCTGATGGCAGCTTTTGTCATGGTAGCGGAGCCCCATGCCGGGGCGAGGATGCTACCATGGCTCATGGCCTTTTGCCTAGGTGAAGCCATGGCGGCCATGTACAACCTGGAGTACCACCTGGACGACATTCCAGCACGGTCTTGGAAAGAGATTGAGGTGCTGATGGTAACAATGGAGAAGGCATGAGCCCTTGCAGAGGACTTGGCTTTGAACAGGTGAAGCCCAATGACATGAACACAAATGAGAGCAACTTTGGCTTGGTGGACTATATGGGAGCCCTGTAGATGTTGGAGAGCAGCCAGCCCTGGCAATTTCGAGCAGGCCAAATGAAGGAGAAAGGGTGTGTACACAAAGTAGAAGGTCCATTAGGATGTGAAGATCGTGGAAACTTGCGCTACTTGACAGATTGAGTTCACAGAGGACGGCCTGTACATCATCTTCTGGAACTCCAACTCCAACACCTTGAAGACAGGTGGGGCCAGACGACTCCGTCATGGTCTCGAGGTCTGTGACAAGGACACACGATGGATGAGGAGCGCCTGAAAGATCAGGAGGCAGCAGCGTTCCGCAGTGGATTGGGTGTGTGCATTTGACGATTCCCCAAAAGTAGTGTGTAGCCACTTTAGTCTAGCCAGTTGATAAATGACAGTGGGATCTCTTTTTTGCTATTGTTTAAGAAGCGGCACGCAGCTAAAATTAGTAGTTCTGCAAGGTAGCGCTAGCAAATCCGTTAGGAAAGCGCTAGGTTTGAATGCATATCATGTGAGGAACATCAATATCCTCTATGATGAAATTACATAACGGATTTGTTTTGGAGATGTATTTGAATAAGCTGAACCCTCCACCAGGGCTTGCAACACAAAATTGTGTGTGCTCACAGTTTGGGGCTCAATTATTTTGCTGCAGTTGTTTGTGTGATCATGGCTGTGCCTGTCGGCGCTCCTTCCATTTGCAAAGTTGGCACGTGTGGCAGTGCCATGAAAGAGCCAGAGTTCAACTCAAAGCATTCTCCATGGGTATGTGGTTGTGTATCTCATTTGCAAGCCATTCTGCTTTGTTCAGGAATGATTTCTTTGGCTCGATGCTATCCTTGTTGTTTTAATTACAGGGCTGACAGTAAGACCCTTTGAGGTTGCCGATTTTTATACCACAGCTGGGACGAAGCGTGCAAGCCACCATTGCGCGGTCTAGTGGCTAGCCGTATATTCATGTAATTTTTCTCTTATCAGGCCCTTCTAAATGAACCTGTCAGGTAGAAATTGCTTAGGGTCTTTATAAGTGATATTTCAGCTGAGTTTGGAGAGCGAGTCATCTTGGAATTTCACTTCTTGTTTGACGAAGAGCATCAAGCAGTGGCAGCAGCAAGCGAAGGAGCTTCTGGAAGGGATTTCTGAAGCGTAGCGATTGGGTTGATGGGCTGCTGCTGCTGCTGGTGGTGGTGGTGGTGGTGGTTGTGGTGTTGCTGTTGTTGTTGTAGTAGTTGTTGTTGGTGGTGGTGGTGGTGGTGGTGGTGTGTTTTGGTTGTTCTTGTCTTGTCCTGTCTTTGTGTTGTTTTGGTGCTCATCGCCTTTTGACCTGACCTCGCCCAGGTGCCTACATCGACTCGAACTTTGCGGCGCAGAGGACGCTTGGTTGCCTGGCTCTTTGTTTGTTTCTTTGCCTGTTTTGTTTGTTTGTTTGCTTGCTTGCTTGCTTGCTTGCCTGCTTGCTTGCTTGCTTGCCTGCTTGCCTGCTTGCCTGCTTGCCTGCTTGCCTGCTTACCTGCTTGCCTGCTTGCCTGCTTGCCTGCTTGCCTGCTTGCCTGCTT